GCCCAATATAAATATAGGACAAGATGGGCCTCAGTGTCTATTTTCAGCCAGCTGCTACGTCCATGCATCTGCAACCCTGATGGCCGTTCTCTGTCGAAATTACAATCCATGTTAAATTATGTATTACTCCTAGTTCTAATTTACATATTGTTTTGACTTTTCTAGATACACAAATTGTATTATGTATGTAGACATATAGTATATCAAGATGTATAACAAAAACTATGTATCTAGAAAAGCTAAAACGATCTATAATTTAAGACAAACACCACACTAGATCATTTCTTTCCCTACGGCTAGGACTAGTCCCCTCGGCTGGGAACATCCCGTCAGGAGCGCTCCCTCTTCCTTGGCGTGTGAGCTAAACTGAGGTAGAAAGCTGCCCGCACCGTCAGGAACACTGCATGCGCCGCCGAAAACCAAACTTGCGCACTCCAGTCCACAGCATGGCCCACGCGTAAGTGAGGTGTGGCAAAAAGAAGGGCGCGAACGCAAGGCGATGGACGGGCGAGGTAAAAATTTCGCGACCTTATCCTATCACCTCACCTACCCGACTTTTCCTCATCCCCAAATTTCTTTTCTCTCTCTCTCTCTCTCTCTCGGGAGATGGCGGCGAGCACGGGCCTTGGCCTTGAGCGAGAGACGCCCGCCACTACCGCCGCTGCGTCCAGGATCCGTGAGATGACGTCCTCTCATGGCTTCTCCCTTCCCTCTCTCTCTCTCTCTCTCTCTCTCTCTCGGCTTCTCCTTTCCTTCCCACTTAGGGTTGCCATCGCCGTCGCATCCCCAAGATCCAACGAGGTGAACTCCTCCCCGTGGAGATCCACAGCGTGGCGGCGGCGCCGCTGCACACTGCACGAGCCCCTCCTCCCAGCAGAGATCAATGGCGTGGCAGCGCCATGAGGCCCCTAATCCTCCTGCTCAAGTCCAAGGCATGTTGGCGCTGTAGGAGGTATGTACCCCAGCCATGGATGAGAAACTCAAGGCCTGGCAGATCCACATCTCACCACGAGCCTACGAGATCTGAATGTTTTTAGATTTTTTAGGTAATTTATTTACCCTTTCATGAAGGAGAAAAATGTTTTAGATTATTTTAGGCAATTTATTTACCCTTCCATCGAGGTGCTAGAACACTGAACGTGAACAATAGTCACTGAATTTTATTTTGGCCAGCTGCATTTTTCACTCATTTGTTGAACTGACATGCAGTATATTTGTCCTTACTGAGTTGTGCGGCCTGTGCCTTATTACATACATATAGGATAATAGATTTGTTAACATTTGCGCATGCATTTTTTGTCAATTTACATTGGGCAAGTACTCTGCATAGAAATCTGAGCACTTTTGTTTCTAAAAATATGCCTGTACACTTTTGTTTTGGAAGATAGTTTTGCTTGGATGAAGTAGCATTGTTGAAATCTCATATGTTGATTCAGCTAAATATTCTGCAATATATGTCGGCTGTTGATAATCTTTACAATTTTATAGAATTGTGTTTCTTTCTAATTCCAGCCTTTTATGTTGTACAAGAATGCACTACTATTATGAAAAAGAAATGTTCTTATGTGCATAAAAGCAAAATTTATAGTCAAAAGGAAGTATTTCAGACCTAGTTACATTCTTTTCTAAAAAAATACAACGTTTCAGTCAGTAGGCAACCATAGTGCTTAGTAAGTAGGCATGCTGACAATAAATTTTGGCATTTCTAGGCAGTGTTGACAGTTCTTGAAGGTAGTGGTGATTTGCGGCAATCATGTGAACTAACTAAGGGTGCATGTCCGCATGCTCTTTGTTCAAGAATATTTTCACTTATCACTACTAGTTGTTTAACTGGTCTATAAAAGAATTGTTTGAAACAAATGTGCAGATGTGGAACACTAACAATTAGTGTTGCCGGGTCCGGATGTGCAGTAGCAGGGCAGGTTGGTTGTCAGCTCCTAGATGTGCTACGGCAGCATGGCAGCTTCAGGATGTGGTGCGGCAGCGCAGAGGCTCTGCACACCCTATACCCTCCCATCCCCGGCTCTTCTTGCTTGTATCTGCAAGTTATAGAAACTCAGATCGTTCCAACTCAATGTTCTTGGCACTGATCCTACTAGAAGACAACTAGCTCTGCTCATCTGCCGTAGAAAATGACTTTGCTATCATGAGCTATTTGTGCTGGAAACACTTTTTGGGTTATTTGCTTCCATCTTCTTTCATGCCATTTAACATTGACTGAATAATTTCCAAGATTTAGTATGTCCACTTAGAAAAGAATGATTTCCAAAAACATTGACAGTATTATCTTTTCACTCACAGAGGACATTACTTGAGATGATCGATTTCCAAGATTTAGTCTGTTTGCAATTATAAACGTCCAAGAAGCATCCATCATGTTGATACAATTTTTTTGCAGGTCATTGCTGACAATAAAAAACAAATAGAGATACTGCCTGTCATGCTTAAGGAAGAAGAAAGTAAACATGGTAAGATTACCGGCTCACATTATTTTTGCTCTTAGTTGACCTGTTTAGGATCTGACGCTTATGCAAACACAAGATCTGACTGTAGTGTTATCAAAAAAAAAAAAGATTTGACTGTTCTATGATTCATATAGATTTTCTGTCCTTGCATCACTGGTGGAATAATATACTCAAGGGCAGTCCTGAATTTAATTGATAATAAAGCATACACAAAGCTAGTGAGTTTCATTCACTTGCCATCTTCCCTGCTTCTATCTGTCCCCGGTCTTCCCCTACCTCTGTAACACAATGGTGAGATCCCTGACTGCGTTGGCTCTTACTGTATGGTACAAAATTATTTTTGGTCTGGTGCAACTATTGTTATTTACATGCATTGGACCGAGGTGCTAGATACATGTTTTATTAGGACTGTTCTAGTGTTTCAGACAACACTACAAGACTGTTTTAGTATTTCAAACTACACTGCACAAAGTGCATGTAAGCTTTAGTGTTTTAGTGCTCTATTTGTATCTGAACTGCAATTAGAAGATTCTACTTACACTTGCTGTGAGTATAATCTCATGGCCACATCCATGACATATGATGATCTCATGAATGGTTCTATATATCTTGTTTTGATTGTAGAGAGGGACCGGACATGTGCAGTAGCTGCTACATTGCCATCACAGGGCCTGTTAGGATAGTTACTTGACTTCTATTTCTTACATATGTAGCACTGCAGCTTCGCTCTTCTGAGTTTATTTTGCAAGACAACTAGAATGTAGCTTAAGATTGATTTGTTGAACATTGTACTATCTGATCTATGTACAATGTTAAGATATGGTTATATGTACCAAGACTACTGAATGTAACATTTACCGCTTGTGTGGATGCATGATTAAATGATGAGTATTTGATTATATGTACCAAGACTACCTAGTGTGACATATAGGATGCATGATTAAATGAGCTATGAATCACTGATTTGAATGGTTAAATGATGGTTTATGGAGCCCTGACGGTTGGCAACCGACAGGGAAGATCCTACGTTCTCCTGACGGGTTGTAGCCGACGGGAAAGATTTAGATTTTCCCTGACGGTTTCGAGACGACAGGAAAGATTTGGATTTTGCCTGATGGTAGGTGACCGACGGGGAAAGTTTCCATGACGGCAGATGAAAAACTGACACCGAAGATCTTCCCTAACGGCTCTAACCGTTAGGAATCAATCGTTGACGGATTTCCGTTAGGGAAAGTGGACTTTCCCTGTCAGTTCATTCTTGACGGCTTATCCCTGATGGTTACCGTCACGGATCACTTTCCCTGACGGTATTAGCCACTTTCCCTGACGGTGTCGGCCGTCAGGAAAGAAATTTCCTGGGGTAGTGAGATGGTGGTAATATGTGAATTCCTATCCATCTAAAGTTCAATTTAAGCCTTTTAGCTTCCCAATAGAACACTGCTTCAGATAACAGTAATAGAAGACAAAATGCCCGAGATGAGATTGGGAAGCAAAATTGCCATGTGTAGAGGGGATAAGATATCTGATGAGAGGGCACACCAAGGTGATTGCTTTGTTTGAATATCCAAACTTTATACTTCTCTTCCATACGGTAAGCTGCTTTTCGAGTTTTTTGAAGAATCGTCGTTGAGAACTAATGTAATTATAAAATTAAATAAGATCTAATAAATATTTATATATTGGTCTACTTTTTTCATGTTGTTCAATTGTGGGTGCCATGTTGAGTATGGAATACCAAATCGAAGGTAAGACTTTCAATTATTCGACTTATTTTCATGTATTGATTCTGACGAGTTTTTTAATCCCTTCTTACCAAACATTGCTCCTATCCCATAAAACATAAGTGCATGACGGTCACACACGCAGGATGAGAGAGCGCAGCGAAGCGGGCCAAACTACTTACTCTCTCCATTTCAAATTATAAGTCATTCCAAGAATCTTAAAGAGTCAAAGAATCTCAAGTTTGACCAAAATTGTAAAGAAAATTATAAATATTTTTGACATCAAATATGTATTACTATAAAAAATATAATTGATGAAGAATCTAATGATACTTAGTTGACATCATAAATATTATTATCTTATTATATAAATTTGGTCAAACTTGAAATGCTTTGACTCTCCAAAATTTCTGAAATGACTTATAATTTGAGATGGAGGGAGTAGTTTGTATGACTTGCCATGAGTTTGGGCGAGGATGCACACTTTGGACTGGTACGGTACTCATGACCGGTGGTGCTACTCAGTTGTAAGATCAGGGTCACTCGTGAGCATATGAGCTGATGATGCAGAGGAGGGATCACCGCAACGCAATTCGAATTCACAACCTGCTCAATTTTCAGGCTGTTTTTCATTAGCATCTGCCTAATAATGCATGCAATTAATTGGTGAAATCACATTAACACATACTACAAGGTACGTACGGTAGACACACATGGAGTACGTAGCTAGCTCATTCATCCCGAGCCGTGGCCGGCCCTTAAATTACATATAGTACGTAACGTACGAACAGTCCTTCGTTTATGATAATTGTGATTAATTAATGCAGGAACTAGCCTTATTGGGCACCAGCTCTCGTTGTCGTCGCGTCGCTGTGTCCTCGCTGTAGGTGCTGTCGTAGAAAAAGCTGCTACTTGTACCACCGGCACCATCGGCGCCGCCCGTCAGACTAAGCGACGGCGGCGCCTTCTCCTCGTCGTAGCAGCAGGAGGCGGCAAAGTTGTATTGTTCATCCAGCTGGTTAGCAGTACCGGATCCGGCAAGCAGCAGTACCTTGTGATGATGATGATCTTCCTGAGACTGAAGGCCCCCAAAGATGAAGGTTTCCGCGCCAAGCCCATGCCCATGGACGCTGCTGCTGATGGTGGTGGCGCATGGCTCATCAAAGTAAATGGCATGGCCGCCGCCACTGTCCAAACACGTCGTCGCCTGCTGCTCGCCATTGAGGAGGAGGCCGCGGCTACCGACGGCGGCGGAGAGGAGGGACGTCGTGCTGTTGCTGGAGCCGTAGCTGCCGCCGCCGCTGTAGAGGTGATAATAATCATGAGGAGACGAGAGGTGCTGCAGCGACATGATGGGAGCAGCTTCTGGCGACGTCACCGCCGCCGCCGCTGATGACACGGTAAAGCTGTGGTGGTTGTGGGTGGTGTAGGGCTGAAGGCTGTGCATGAGCTTCTTCTTGAGCTTGGTGTTCCAGTAGTTCTTGATGTCGTTGTCCGTCCTCCCAGGGAGCTGTGCTGCGATGATCGACCACCTGTAGTCACATGGAGTAATAATTTATGCGCATCCAAGGCACCCATGGATGAAGAAATAATTGGACTATCTAACAAACTACTATGTCATACATACAACTGTACTCCATCCGTTTTAAATTTTAAGCCATTCAAACTTTTTTGAGAGTCAAAAGGATTAATGAAGAATGAAGAATCTAATAATACTTATTTGGTATCACAAATGTTATTATTTATTATATAAAATTAGTAAAACTTGAGATGTTTTGACTCTTCAAAAAAGTTGGACTGACTTATAATTTGAGAGGGAGGGAGTATGATTTATAATTTCTGCGTACATCCTAAACCCTAGCGACGATCAGTCTGACTGAAAATGGACGAACTTACAGTAGTCCATTCCAGTTGACACCACCGGTTAGCGTGGCAGTGGTGGCAATCGCATATCTAGTGGGAGGCTGGGAGCTGGAGCCGGCACTAGTAGAGAGTAGAGAAGAGTTTAAACAATTGTTATACTTACCTGCTTCCAATGGTAGCGAAGAGGTTGCAGATGATTCTATCCTCGTCATCAGAGAAGTCGCCATGCTTTATGTTTGGCCTCAAATAGTTGAGCCACCGCAGCCTGCAGCTCTTGCCGCACCTCTTCAGCCCTGCAATGCACGCAGTTTCTTTAGATACACCAAACCATCGTGGCTAAATAATGCAAGCAGGCATGCATGCTACTCTTGCTTGTGACGAACTTGATCAATTACCTGCTTTGTGAGGGAGAGCAATCCAGTTGCCGCCGGTGCCATTCTTGTGGATGTACTCCTTGAGCTTGCGGTCCTCCTCAGGTGACCAGGGCCCTTTCTTCACTCTCGCCTTGTCGCAACACGGAGCCCTGCCCATGTCTGACTCTGTTGGCCTATATATGTCTCCTGGTATGGCTTCAGGCTTCTTCTTTTCCTCCTCCTGCACTAGAAATAGTTTACAAAGGCCACAACAATGTACTACCAACACGGCAGCACCTATGCATGGGCTTCTTTGTGATTCCTGCTGTCTTCTGCTGCCTCCCTCAATCTCAAATCTCTTCGTCGTTGACAGAGCTGAGATGGGGACTGGAGAGAGAACTAGGGACGGCACACACAGCAACATAGGTAATGGTACATATGTTTGAAAGAAAGAGTACATATGATAGTACTCGACCTACTAACTATACTAGATCGAAGCCGAACGTACGTACTCATGCTAGCTTTTCTGTTTCTCTTGAGCAGTCGTCCGATCTGTTGGATAATGGCTTGGCCTATTTTAGTTCAATTAAATCAAATAAATCATAAGGCCCATATTAAATATTATGTGCAGTATAATGTTAGTCTCATATGAGATTTTGATTGGATGTTGACTTAACTTATATGAGTGGACTGTATGTGCCTATATTGAGAAGTTGAGAAAGGACAAGAGTGCCGACCCGACCCGATGTGGTGCGGGGTGCGGGTTTTGTTTTGCCACTTAAGCCTGTTGGTGACAGGAGTTTCAGAAGTTTCGGGAGTTTCTACTCCGGTTGATGACATGAGTTTTGAAAGTTTTGGGAGTTTCTTCTATTAGCGTCTCTTTTGCTTCTGCCTTCTGGTCTTCCGCACGGCTTGCCCCAACTCCTGATTCTTCTGCTTCCGTGAGACCTTTGGACTTTTGCGGGAGTGTGGACGAGATATAAGAGACTCATCCCATCATTTAGTTCTCTTCTCTTGCGCAAACATCCACCGCTTCCGCTGCAACCACAGAGTTCTCCCCATCCCGGTTCCTGCACGCACATGAATAGGGAGAGCAGGCCTCCGAAACCAAGCCGTCTCCGCGTTCATCTGCTCGGGTTAAGGACAACAATAAGGTTTTTGGGGAACGTCTTCCACGCAACTGCTCGATCTTCTTCTGACGACAACGATCCTCGACTTCCTCTACTTCCTGGAGGCAACCTCTGTGGTGATCGACACTAAACCCTTCTGCACTGCACCAAGCGAGACGACTAAACCCTTCTGCACTGCACCAAGCGTGACGATTACAACTACAGGCGCTATGTCGATTAGTGGAACCGGCTCTGGTGTCGCTGGGTATGCTACTATTGTAACCCGTATTTTCTTTTCAATTTTCTATGGTCAAAATCATGATTATTATGATGCTCATTGTCTTGTTAGCGACTAGATCACACATGCACATATTTAATGTCACAAACATGATGTTAATATATTTTTGGATTAAATTGACTGAATTTGCCTAATTTTCTAATAATCCAAAAACCTAACAGTCATATTTCAATAGCTGCCTTTGCGAATGCGCTGAAACAAAATGTTTTTGAGGGCACACAATACAAGAGGTGGTGTCAAGGATGCATATTGTAGTTGACTGCTTTGCATTGCTATTTTGTTAATGAACCTAGATCAGTAGGACCGCATACTCCTAAAGAGGAGCATGACACGTTCCATGAGCCTGATACTACGTTCAGTTGGGCAATAATCAGCGTACTTGGGACTCCATAGTCGATGCACACATGACCCTGTCCACTGGAAAATAAATGTGTAACGTGCTTGAGGCCAAATATGGAGTTTCTGGTGCTGGTAGTGAGTTGTATGTCATTGAGCAGTTTCATGACTACAGAATGGTTGATGGCTGTTTTATGGTAGAACAAGCTCATGAGGTACAAACACCGGCAAAAGAGCTTGAGAATTTTGGTTATGTGCTGTCGGATAAGTCTGTGGTAGGATGCATCATTGCTAAGCGGCCCCAATCTTGGACCGACTTTTCTACTCTAAAAGATAAGAGATAGGAATTCAGCATTGCCGATCTCATTGGCTCTTTGGATGTTGAAGAGAAGGTGAGAGCAAAGGATGTCCGTTGCAATAAAATTGTTGGGGGAAATTCTAGTGCCCATGTGGTGCAGAAAAATCCTCAAAATTCCCATAAGAAGAAATATTCAAGCAAGAACTCAAACAAAAGAATGCTACCCAATTTAAGAGGAAGAAGGCATCTGCTTCACTTGTGGCAAGCCTAGGCATTATGCTAGGGCGTGCGAGGAGAGCAAGTGGAAGCCTAACAAGAAATCTACAAACATGATTGAGGTTGATGGAGGAACATCGGGGTATGGTAATTTATTGTCTACAATTCTTTTTTGTCATTCACTTGATTGGTGGGTTGACACATGTGCTAATATTCATGTGTTTGCTTATATTTCTCTGTTTTCTTCTTATTGGTTGAATGAACTTCCTCCTTGCTGATGGGGAATGGAGTGAGTGCGTGTAACACCTATGGTGTTACGAGCTCGCTTAGCACTAAGATTATGGTCCGTGAGAGAGATCTAATAAATATAGCAAGTTACGTAGATGGGCATGCAATTTTAAATTTTGGAGAATAAATATTGTTAGCTAGTATTTTGGGGAGCACAGAAATCGATTTGAAATTAAATCAACTCGTCTTGGTTAAGTCGGCAAACAAATAAGCTTATGTTTAAAATGCTATCTTTGGCGAATTATATTGTGGAAAATACCTAAAAAGTGCTTAAATATTTTGTTCCTATGGGTTAGTATGAAGTATGGACTTCTGCGTGATATACTTGTTGGGTAAAGTTAAGGGGGTTTAGACCATTTAAAAATTATGACAAAAAGTGTTAATGGTTGTTTAGTTCAAACGGGACTCTCGTCCTTTCTAAGTCTGAAATGATGATAGACAATGTGGTTTTGGCACTTAGATTTCAACAAAACGGATTAAGCAATATATCTATGTTTCTGCACGGTTGGTTGCATCAAGGTGTGTACTTGAACATGGTGTAGGTTGTAGTTGTGATAGAGGTTACGATGCTCACTCGACAACTGCTGAACTTCACTAGAACACACTGTAACCATGTCGTTAGCACTCCGTTCGTGAACTGGGTTCAGGGCGACGAACTCATCTTGTCATACTTGTATCTTTCCCCCTAGTCACTCGTTGGTCACGCCGATTGCTTCACTAGATAGCTGGTGACGTGGACCTTAGGTTAGTGAGGTTGGTCAAACCTTAGCCGCACTGTTTGGCAGCCTTGGCGTCGCTTCAAAATTCATGCAAATGCATTGTTCGGCCGTTTGGCTCTGTGGGCGCAGTCACCGTGCGCTGCTATTGCCTGGCCATTCATGGCCATGGCCACGTCGTGGACTGTTCTTGTAGGCTTCCTACCGCGCGCTGGGCTAGGCGGGCTGCGGTCGTGTTTTGTAAGGCTGGGCTAGCCGCTGGGCTGCTATTGCGTGGCCGTTGTGAGCACGCGGCCGGTCACGACGAGCGTGAGCTAGGTCGATGCCGTGGTGGTTACCGTGTGGTCGACATGGCGCTCGTCTTGACACTCAATCCAACTACCACGTCGTGACCCTGCATGCCCTTCTGTTCATCATATCTGAGTCGACGACCCGGTCACTATGGCGAGGGTGTTGCCCCTTTGCCTCTCCTGTCTCCACTAGTCGGCACCAATGAGACCGCTCGAGCTTGGCTGCTCTAACTCAAGTGCGTCGCGCTAAGCCCTTCACTACCTCATCACTTGGGTGCACAGGTTTGCATTGCCATCGACAACCGGAGCCACTCGCCTTAATCCGATCGTGTCCGCTCGCTTGTTCATTCCTCGGCCACGCCATGGGCCAAGCCAACGCTTTTCTTCCCCCTCTCATCGACTGCTCGGCTTAGCAGCAATTCCTCGCAATCATGAGTGTGTTAGGAAGCTAGCTAGTAGCCCCACCCGTATTGAGCCCTAGCCGAGCCCTGCGCCACATCAATTCGATGTTTTCCTCATCGTAGATCATGTCCGCCGTCGTGCCCTGCATGTTGGTGAGTAGGGTCCTATCCTTCGGTAGGGATGCAATTGGTTGCTCCTATGAACTCGTCTTGGTTCCCTTGTGCTAGTGCTCACCTTTGTTGGCCAGGAATGATGGGGGTTGGGAGCTGACGCGCCGGTGTCTGCCGCAGAGCATCGTCGTCTCCACCGTTCGCACGTGGCCGGACCACCTCGACACTCCTCCGCCTCAACTGTCACTGTAGCTCAAATACCAATGAGTCACTGACGATTCCCCGTTATCTCTACCACTTTGGTAGTAGCTTAGGCCACTGGAACAGTCGCGTCAGCGCACGGTTCCGCCTATCTTCGAAGCTAGGCTTCGTTAGTACACCGCCGGGCTTTCTGCCGCCGCCAGCCTCTGGGCGTTGGCCCGCAGGTCCCCATTGGCCAGATGAATAGGTCGCTTTGGCCTTTAGCTGGCCAGCATGGCCATGTAGTGCCATCCATGGCTACGTTGATGAACGCGGTGGCACAGGGACCATCTAGTTGCGAAGACGAATCAATCTAGGGTGCTTGGTGCATAACGGGTCTCTTGCGCAATAGTGAGCGGAGGCGCCGCATAATATCCGTATAGGCTAGGGGCTACTTTGCAAAAGGCGTAGGGCGCTCCCGCCATGGGCCGCTGTTGGGCTGGCCTGCTATGCGCGTAGCCACGCCCGCGCTGGGTTGACGGGCTGTTGGGCCAAATAGTTGTCGCCGGTCCTTCCATTTTCAAAAGCATTTATAATTTAGTTTCTTAGGCAAAATTGTAAATTCAATATCAATTTGTGTAGCTGACAAAAAATTATAAAACTTATTTTGTTAGGTTCTTAAAATCATGATCTATCTTCTAGTGTATTTATTTCATATAGTTTCATAGAATTTTCAAGAGTAATCTAATTAATTCAAGATGCTTAATATTGTTAAAACATAAACTTGTAGGAATTATTGTGATGAATTGGTAGTAGCGTTGGCTCTAAAATTTTTATGGTAGATTTCTAACATTATTAGGTGTTCACTATAATTTTTTAGCTCCATAGGTTTTAGTTTGTTAAGGTAACTAAATGAGCCCTACTATGAAAAAATA